TGTAATCCTTATTACTGTTAATTCTGTTATATTTAATGATTTTAATTTATCGAAAATATGATTGCTAATTTATTATTATTGTTAACAATTAACTAATTAATTATTTTAATATAAAGTCTATATAAAATTAATTATAGCATATTGAAATATTTTATATATTTCTTTTTCTTTTCTATAGTGATTATTTGTTATTACTATATTTTTATTAGTATTTAAAAAAATTTTTATATTAAATATAATAATTGGTTGCCTTTTTATTTTGTAGTATTATTTTTTGATAATTTTATTTATTAAATTGCTTCTGCATTTATTAAATATAAATTAATTCTTTAAATGATTTCTTATACAATTAATAAATAATGTTTTTAGATAAAAAAAAATTATTTAGTATTTATAATTTAGAAAATTATATAATGAATATGTATAAAAAAAATACTAAAATTATTATATTTGAATAGTTTTTTTATTTTTTTTAAAAAATATTATTTATAAAATTATGATAAAAAATATTATAGCTTTAAATATAATTAATAAAAATTTTATTATATTAATAACTAATAAATATGTATTTTTTTATTTATAATTATTTAAAAATTTAATATAATATATATTTAAACGCAAAAGTTTAAATTTATTATTAGATATTTATTATATTTAATATAAATTAGCTTTTTAATTTGTTTTTTTTATTATAAAATATAAAAGATAAATAATATTAATTAATAGTAATTAATTGTATAAATTTTTTTGATTTTATTATTTTTAATATATATTTTTAATACATATATTTATTTTAATTTAAATTTTTTAATATATATTATAATATATTTTTTATATATATTATAATTTTTAATAATTATAAAACTATATATTAAAAAAACTAAAAATAATATTTATTAACTTTATTTATTTTATTAAAAATTATAACACAAAATATTATAGGATTTATTATTTCAAATTAATAATATTCAAACATTATTAATTTATATTTATAATAAGTATACATTTATAAAATAAAAATATTAATTTATATAATTATACATAAAATTTATAAATTATATGTTTTATATAAATAAATAAAATATATGAAAAATAATTTATTATATATATAAAAATTCATAATATTTAAAAAAAAATAATTTATATATTTATATATTAATAAAATTATATATATATATGTTTAATTAATAAAAGAAAATTTTATTTCTAATAATATTTTCTATTTAAATTAAAAAATTAAATATCTTTGATACATAATTAATATTTTTTGTTTTTTTTAATAAATATTTATAATTAATGTAATATAAATTAAATATATATAATTTTATTTAAAATAGATTATAAAAATATATAAATTTTTTTAAAAAAATTTTCAACATTAATTATATCTTTTTTTTTTTTTAAACATTAAGAAATATTTATTTATTTTTAAAAATTATTATATATTTTACAAAAAAATTGATTTATTCTGATGTAAATATTTTAAAAATGTCTAAACATATATTTTTTTAATTTATATCCGAAATACTATCGTAAATATACAGACAAAAACATAATGTAAATGATATTTTCATAATTTTTATATAATTTAATTTTTTTAATTAATTTTATATGATCATTGTATATTATTAATATTAGCTATTAATATATGATAAAATTAATAAATATTTATTCAAATATATATAAAAATATATAGTTATTATAAGAAATTTTAAAAAATAAAAATTACAAATAAATATATTTATATTAAATAATTTTTAATTTGTAAAAAATTAATAAAATAAATAAATAAATAAATAAATAAATAAATAAATATATAAATAAATTTTATTTTTTATATTAAATCTAAATTTATATATTTTTTTATAACTATTTATATCTTCTAATTATTATTTTTTATAAAAATAACAATATTAAATATATGACGCACTATATAATTTTTATTTAATTAAACTAAAAATTAATATTATAATAATATATTACTTTTTTATTTATTTATTTAAATTATAAAAAATAAAATAATATATATTTCTTATAAAATTTTAATAGCAATAAAATAAATCCAATAAATACGAATTTAAATGTTATAATATTATTATTTTTAAAAAAGAGATTAATATAATTTATTATATTTAAAATATTTTAAATTTATAAAATAAATAAAATAAATAATCAAATAATTACATTATTAAAAATATTGTTTTTTACCTTAATTAATTTTAAAATATTTTTTTATCATCAATTTTTTTTATTTTTTAAATATATTTTTTTATAAATAAATAATATATAATATATCTCTAAAAAAAGTAAATTTATCTAAATATTAATGATGAATATAATATTAAACATTAGTATAAAAGTTTTTATAATAGTATTTTATTTAATTATAATATCATATTCTTAAAAATAAGCACGCGTATAAAAATGTTTATATACTAATTTTAAATAACATAATATTCCTGAATGTGGATTTATCGTTTCTGGTAGTAATGGAGCAAATCATGTTACAATATGTGACATATATACACTTTTAGGAGGATATGATTTATGTGGAAAAGATTGTATTATATAAAATACATTTAGGTCTAATTTACCTGTCTATAAATATAGAATTGAATTTTAATATATTATGATTGATTAATGGGATGATAAGGTAGAGAATATTACAATAAATGGAGTTATAGCTAAAACTCTTTAAAAAGATACAACTGCATCGACTAGTTTATGTGGAGGAGCTGCAAATGAAAAAATATAAAAGGCGGATTTCTATTTTATTACAAGTGATTAAACAATTAATGTTACACTTTCTAATGACTTGGATTAAGGCCCTACTATTTAATCTTTTGGAATGAATGAATTAATAGTTACTGGTTTTTAATGTATGTCTTAGTGTGCTTAATGTACTGATCATACTTCATGTGATTTATGCAATCCTGGATTTTTTTATAATGATTCTTAATGCATTAATTCATGCCCAGGAAGAAAATTTGAAAATGCAGTATCTAGAACTTGTGATGATTGCAATAATAGATGTGCAAGTTGTTCTGATGCGATTAATTGTGATTCTTGCTTTGAGAATAGAGTTTCTTAATAATGTATTTGTCCTTAATATTCCTATGATCCTAATGGCTTCGATTAAGCCTGTATTATATGTTCTACTTTTTCAACTGGATGTGCTACATGCAGTGCAACGGAATGTCTTACATGCATAGCCCCTTAATATTTTTAATTAAACTAAAATAAATAATGTGATTCATGCTTAAATATAATGACTAAAATATATTTTAGTGATGATTTTTTGACTTTAATTATAGATTTTGATTATTATTATACTGATTTATAAATTCAACTTATCCTCTCTGATTCATAATTCTAAAATTATTCTTAATAATTATAATTTACTTATTAGCTTTGTATAGAAACTTTAGATTAAACTTCCATTACTTCTAAATTATAAGGAAACATTTTATGTTCTTTTAACAAACCTTAAAAAACACTTACAATTAAACTTGATGATGTAAGTACAATTAATAAGGATGATATAGTCAAAATAAAGCCTGGGGTATTCAAACTAACAAATAATGGCATCATTTGCGCTGGTTTTCTTTAATAAATAACTGGCAAAGTAACTTTAGACACAAATCTAGTTATATAATTAACTTAAATAACCCCTATTTCTATATGTTAATAAGCATAAATAATAATGTCAAGTATTTCTAATCATGGTAATAAAGAATTAAAATAAATTAATTGGTCACTCATTTCTTCTAATGCATATACGGCGGATGAAATAGCTTAAATAAATACGTAAATCTAATAATAAAATAACTAATTATTTTTATAATTATAGCCTTTATAATTGAAAAAACAAGGATAATACTAATTCTAAGTAGATGTAATTTCCTATTTTAACCAAAATAGGTACTGCCAATATAATAATCTAAACTTTATCAGATAGATCAATATATATAAGAGTAAAAACAAATCCAAACTAAATATAGAGAAGTAATTTAGTGAATATAAATGTTTATTTCAATCTTTTTTAATGTGAAGATGATGGCGAAACATCTTATCAATAAACAGATGCTTATCAAGTATAAATCAAATAGAATGACAATTTAACTGAATAATTAAACATTGATTCTACATAAATACTTTAAGAAACATAATTTTAATTTTAAATTTAGCCTTTTATTATGAAAGTAAACACAACATAAAATATATAAATTACTGTTTCTTTAAAGTCTGATCCTACTATTACTGAATAAATAGTATTCCCAATATAGGTTCTTTCTGATGTTCATTCGGTTTAAATTTTAGGAGGAAATAGATAATAATAATTTTCTTAAAGTTTTAATCTCGAAGGAAAAGTAGATGATCCTAATTTATCCCCTAATGAAAAAATTTCATTAAAAGAAACTAATTATGGAATAAATATAAAATGGTAATGTATAAATATGATTATTGGTGATGATTGTAGAGATTCATAAAATAATTTAATTATTTCTGATGTAACATAAAATCTATAAATTACCATATAATAAAAAACATTATAACCTTTTTAACAATATTAATTTATACTTTCAGGAACAAAAGATGGAATAACTGTTTTTGATTAAATTATAATATCTATAATTGATAATGATTTTCCTTCTGTTTAGTCTAATATTTCTATCAACAACTCTTAAAATAGAATTAATTTAAATTAAGAAATATTTATTTAATTTTATTCTGAAGAGGTTACTAATGTTGATAACTTAATAATTACAGGAGTTATTTTTTATCAGAATTAACAAAAGAATATAATAACATTAGGTTATAATTAATTTATATTTTAAGTTTGGGAATTATTCTTTGACTTTTTAGATTAAAAGTAAAATGAATTTGAATTAAAATTTTCAATTAGAAACATAAATTATATAGTACCTACATTAATATCTTATACTTTATATGCTAACATACCTCCTTAATAGTGTATTTTTGATTAAACTACAGATTATAAAGTTAGAAATCTTTAAGACAAAATAACTCTTTAAATAAATGAATGTAATGATGCTAATTAACCTCTATCTTATTCTTTCTATTTTTATAAAAATTAAGAATAATATGATAATGAAATATTGAATGCTTAATAACATATTAATAGAAATTTATTATCTGATTTCTCTCTAAAAAATAATATTGAAACTGTTCTTCCTTTTGGTGTTTCTTTAATTATGGGGGTAATATAAGATTCAAAAGGAGGAATAAGAAATATAACTTAATAAATTACAGTAAGCTAATATGATTAAGACAGTTCTTCATATTATAAATTTATTAATAGTTGGTTTGTATAAACTAAATAAAAATAATAAAATGAAAATAAAGTAATTTAATATAATATGATTATTTAAGATATTATTAATCATAAAAATATTCTTTAATTAGATTCAAATACTTAATTTATATAATTATATATTAATATTTTAAACGAGATTCAGTATTAGTAAACTTTTTTTATTAATTAAATGACTCTTTTAAATATTTTTTATAGACATAACTAACATTAAATCAAATATTTAATAAATTTCTCAATTAAATGGCATCTACATTAAGATTTAATAGAATTCAGCAATTTATTAAATTTATTTAATAAATAATAATCGATTAATAAATATTTATTAAGAAAGTAGTAATTTCTGACGCAACATAATATATTAATTATTTTTAATCGACTCAAGTTCTTATATTATAAGCACAATTAAT